TTACTGAGCCACTTTCTATGACGTTTAGCAACAAATCAGTTTTCTAAAACTAGAACACTACAAATTGTGTTCTGATTGGTTGCTAAGAGTATTGCACTTTACCTCATGCACCATTGTACTGAATAAGACTGTCCAGCACTCGTTTAATACGAGCTATACATCTTTTAATTATGCTGTGTCCCAAATCCCAGTTAAACTCCACATCTGCACCAGACTATAGTTCAATTATTCGATAATTCCCTAACATAATATACAGTATGTATCTGCCTTCTTCTACACAACTATAACAAAAGTGTCACTCTCTTTGCTTTTGGTTTGTGTATGTACTGTTTATCTAAAGTCCAGAAAATGTGTATGGGGACAATGACACCTTCATTTGGCTTCAAAATATCAAGAAAAGTTAAGCGGAGCAGGGACATCTTATAAGTATGTCACTTCACTAGAGGGGCCAAGACATAAAACTTTTTAATGGGGTTTATCATTAATATATTAATTAAAGGCATTACAGGAAAAGCCATACTGAAGAACACATAGGGGTCTATTCACAAAGCTGCCGAGGGCAGCCGAGTGAATGACCGATCAGAAGTGAAGTGAGCCGAACACTGTTCGGCTATTCCCTTCAAGCTGGTACGGCTGATTTCAGCCATATATCGGCTGAAATCCGCCGTACAGCTGCCAGAAGGTGTAGGGTGGGGTTACCGATTATGCCAAGACAGTGGGTACCACTTTCCAATATTTACAAACACATTCTAAGTAGAAAATCTCTTTAACACTCTAGATACATTTGATGGCTACACAACTGTAAAAAAAATGCAACAATAATGTGCTGCAATTAACTGTATTGAAATGGCATTAAAAACAAACAGGTTACTGGTGACTTATTTGGAAAATAAAGCGCTACGGTTGCCTGTGGAAAATAAGCCTTTTTTTAAGCCTCTCAATTAGCTTCTTAGCAGGATATACCCAGAATCCATATATTGCTAATTTTTACCTAACTTTACCTTTAACATCCCTTGAAACAAAAACTACCTGCTGAGTTCTGATTGTTGTAATTGCTGATCCAAATCAGCTGCTAATGTGAAAAATGATTTACTACACAGCAGTGTGCTAAAAAGTGTCAATTTCAGCATATTTTTATATTACTGTAATAAAGTGAGTCCCATTTGTATCTAAACCCAACAAAATTGCATTATATTGCAGTTTACAAGTGCTTAGATGTTGCTGCATTAGTTTCCTTTTTAATGGGAAGTACAGTAAAGTACCTGTTGATCCTGTCAAAAACGTGTGCCCTTATTAATTCCTGTGGACTACACTGAAATATTAAACAATGTCATCGGCTTTACCAGTTATTTTCTGTGAACTACAAAGCTATGTAATGGTGATGGGGCTGGAGATGAGAATGGGAGGTGTTTATAGTCCAGATCAGGAGAGCAGCTTAGGGTTACAACGCTGCTTGCCCACAGATACAGTGCAGGAAGTGAACGTTGTCACCCTTTTTGCATATGCTAATCCAAGGGTGTAACACATATGTTGGTATCCCAACTAGGGACCCACAATTGATTTTTGGATTCTCAAGTTGTTAAAGCTGGCTATTCATTCAAAATGAGCAACATTTAAAGTGGGTTTCAGTAGAACTCAGTAAAGCTTGTTCTGTTGCATGTATATCAATATAGCTATGGCTCAGAGGAAAGATCATTGTAGGTTTACCTTACTGCTTCCCACTAGTATCTACCTCCAAACAAAGATACATGCTAATTAACCACTTGCTGTCTGCATGTTTTATATAAATTAATGAACAGCAGCCCTCCCAGGAGCGGGATGACTTTTTAAAGCGTCTTTTTGTGCTCCTGTACATGAGAACAATACAGTTAATGTTGGACAGTGCAGATCACACAAAAAGGTTACAAAGCAGATGAGAGTGCCTTTGCACCAAATGATGGCCATTATTATCCCTGGGACTATAAGGAAAGGAAAATCTAAAATCTTGCATTGCCACCAAAACAGGAATAGAGGGTAAATCATCCAGTGGGAGAAGAGATTTACCTAACTTTGGAGAGATTACCTCTCACTTTCTTTGTGTCTACCGGACAGGAAGTGAAGGGATTTTGAATGTAACTAAGTAGCTATGTAAACAGTAAGATATACTTCAAGCACCTGTGTGAGGAGGCTGATTTACTAAGGGCTTGGTCGTACCAAATCCGGACCAGATCTACACGAGTTTCTGCATATGCAGTGCAGTGCGTTTTGTCGCATTTTTGCCGCTTTCCGGTCCGTTAAAAAAAAATTACCCTAAAATGGGCTTTCAGTGCATTCCAGGGTGTTTGCATGCATTTTGTACCTTCCACAGCAGAAAAAATGGGGCATGCTGCAGTTTTTCCACATGCTCTGAAACTGAATGCTGTGATGTGAACTACAGCCCAAAATACCATTGGAATACATTGGATGCATTTTTGATGCGTTCTGTAACTGCTCTGATCTACATCTGCTCTGCACTTGGTGTGAACAAGCCCTTAAGGAGTAAATAATCTTCTTGTGTATATGAGGTATCTTATCTTATCTTATGAAACTTATATCTAGTGTATGTGAGGTATAAAAATCTAATTTAAATAAAAGCTCCTTTTTCAAATAGAAAGGGAATTCATTTCAGAAAAGATTGTGTATTAAAGTAACTTTACAGTTCCAAGACTTTTAGGGTTGACTGACACCAAATGCATGGGGTTGCGCTGTCCATTTTTCCCAGCACAGCCCCAATGCAACACAAGGCAATTTGCCTTCTCATGAATGGACATAGTTCACGCCACCACACCGTGGTGGTGCATCCTGAAGAAAAGTACTGTATGCAGTACTGTTTTTCAGCACAGAGGGCTGTGACAGGGTTCAACCACATTGCACTTCACTGTGCCTGTAGAACTTAATAAAATGTCACTCATGACATTTCAATAAAGTTCTAACAAAGAAAGGTAGACAGTGTGATGCGCCGGGATGAGCGCATTGACATTGTGACAGCCCAGCGCATACTTCCACTTTTGGCACTATGTTATATGTAATCATGAAAATTAGTGAAAAATCTGGTGAAACTAGTAAAAATCTCCTATATTTATAACAACGGTATACAGCTACACTTATATCTCAAATCCATCAATAAAATAGCAATGCCCAGCATTCTCAGGAGTTAAACTATTTACTCCTAGGATGCCGTTAAGTTCAAATTTCATTTTCATCATACAAAATTATTCATTAAAATTAAGATTCAGAATGGGATCTTGCAAGTGTCTTGTGCTGCATTTTCTTTATGTACTTCTTAGCTGGAAGAAACTGTGTTGTTATGCTCATTGTTATCATTATCTCTGCATAATTTGCAAATGTTCCAGGTCTATCTCAATTATGCATTTGTGGCCAAAAAGTGCTGCTTCTCATTTTCCTAATTACATGTCCTCACTGTTACCTGCTGTTTAGCCGCAGGAATATAGAAAGAAAAAAAAGAGATGTAACTCACAAGGTACTGCTACTGTTAAAAATTAAAAGTTAATCTATCTAAAACGTATAGTTTTGATTAGGTAGTTGTAGGCTCCGTCTCATTCTGACATTCTTTGTCAGGGAAACTGTTGGTGAGTTCTCTCTACCTAAATCCCTAGGTCTGGTCACCAGATATGGTTATTAGGCATTCACTCATTCCACATACATACCGTACATATTTTACATTACTAAGAATGAAGCAGACAGAGTGAGACTTTTCCTACTGAAGAAGAAGAGAAGCTCTCTGAAACGAAGGGGTTTATTTACTAACGGCAAATAAGCTGTTCACTTTGCAAGGGAATTTTTCACTTTGCAGGGGAAGTTTCCATTAACTTTAATGTTGCAAAGAATACCCAATCATGTTCAAGGAAAAAAACAGTATTTGTTTGCATATGATTGGATGATGGAAGTCAGCAGAGCTTCACCTCATTAACTAAGCTGGGGAAAAACTTCCCCTGCAAAGTGCAAATTCACTCGCAAAGTTCATAGGATGTTTTGCCTTTAGCAAATCAACCCCTAAGGCCTTGTTCACACCAAGCGTGTTCCGGGAGCAGAGCAGAGGAGTTACAGACCGGAGCAAAACTGCTTCCAATGTATTCCAATTGTATTTTTAGCTCCAGTTCACATTGCAGCGTTCAGTTCCAGAGCAGGTAAAAAAAACTGCAGCAGGTCCTATTTTACCTGCTCTGGACCTACTCTGGAACACATGCAAACGCATCAAAAACGCATGCAAACGCCCTGGAACGCACTGAAAACTCATTTTAAACACACAAAAAAAAATTATGCGGGACGCATCAAAAACGCGGCTAAAAACGCGGCACAAACCACTGCACTGCGTGTGCAGAAGCTCAAGCAGATCTGAACAATGACTTAAAGGCAGCCAGTAGAAAGCTATCACCAGAAGAGTCAATAGAGTTGATTTATTAACCCTTTCGCTGCCAAGCCCTCCGGAACATTTTTCAAATCAGCTGGCCAAGCCATTTTTGAATTTTCTGCAATATAGTCTGCTCACTTTGCAAGGGAATTGCACTTTGCAGGGGAAGTTTCCCTTAGCTTACTGAATGTCGTGAAACTCTGCTGACTTCCATCATCCAATCATATGCAAGCAAAAAAATATTTTTTTCATTTTTGTTGAACCTGTTCGGGTATTCTTTGCAAAGTGAAACTTCACCACATTCACTAAACTAGCAGGAGACATCTCCTTGCAAAGTGAATAGTAAATCAATCCAAATGAGACGTATAAGACACCAGAATGAAATTCAATGTGTCCAAAGACTTACCCAACATGTGAAAAACAGTTTTGGGTGGACTGACCATTTATTTATACAGAATAATGAGTTTATAGTTCTTATCAATATTTGTGTGCACTTAAATTGCAGTATACAGTTATTAATAAAATGTGCCGACTTTTGACTTTATGCCATATAAGCAGCCTTTTTTATACCAATCCTCTGTTAATGTGTATATTTTGTGTGAACACTCACCCTGTCACCTTTAAGTCCAGGAAGACCTGGGGGTCCTGGCAGGCCTAGGAATCCAGGATCTCCTCGAGAACCCTTAAAAAAAATCACATTATGGAATTCAGCAAACAACATCTACAATTTAAGTGCAAAGATTGTGGTATAATGGATGAGATGTATCATGAAATACTTTAAATAAAGCAAATTAAAAATAAAAGAGACTGATCTATTTATTCTTATTTATTCTGTTTTCCCTTGTGAGACACCCCCCCC